CGCGTCCCGGCCTGGCTGCTGCGGACGTCAGCGCTCAGCACCCACCGCGCCTGCGCCGCGTCCCGGCCTGGCTGCTGCGGACCCCAGCGCTCAGCACCCACCGCGCCTGCGCCGCGTCACAGCCTCGCTTTTGCAGACATCTACCTCGCACAGTGACAGTCAGGACACTTTATTGCTGGGCTGTCTGGATGGGCGGGGGGGCAGGGGGCGGGCCTGCGTGCCGGGCCCAGCCCCAGCGCAGCGGGTGTGGCCACGGCGCCAGGAGGCGGGGCCCGGCCCACTGCCCAGCCCCAGTCCCGGCCCGGCAAGTCCGGCACCTGCCCTGGGCGACCCGCGCCGCAGCCCGGCCGCGGGGGGCACAGCCCCAACACCAACACGTCCCTGGCTCCTGGGGTTTCTCCCCCATGAGCGCGAGGACCCCAAGACCCCGCCCGACCCTACGCACACTTGTGCAGTGCCAAGGCAGGAGACAGCTTCACCCAGACGCTCGAACCTGGAACAAGCCAGGTGCCTGTCATCCTGGCTGAGCGCTGAGGATCGCAGTTCGAAGCCAGCCCGGGCAGAAAGCCCATGAGACCCTGATCTCCCAGTAACCACCAAAAAGCTGGAAGTGGAATGGTGGCTGCTATCCTGGAGTGAGACAGTCCAGGACCCTGAGGTCAAGCTCCAGGACAAGCGAGGAGGAGGGAAGAGGGGGAGGAAGGGGAAGAGGGGGAGGAAGGGGAGGAGGGGCTGGGGAAGGAGGGAGGAGGAAAGGGAGGAGGGCGAGGGGGAAGAACGGGCCGTTCCCAGGGCTCTGCAGGGCTGACTTCTGCACCACTGGGATTCTCTGGTGACACCTGCTGGTGCAAGCTGACACTGCAGGCCAGCGGGGCTAGGTCGGCGCAATTTCTAGAGAGCCATGTAGGGTAGGGGTGGGTACTTTGGGAAACCAGTGGGTGGGGGGAGGGAGGAGGGAGGGAGGTGGCCGGAGTTAAAAGCACACCTGGATGGATTCCAGCCTTCTCCCTTCCTCTGTGGCAGGCGTGGGCAGGGCTGGACTCAGCCTCTCCTGCAGGTGACCAGCCGCATGGAGAGTTCACTCCCAGTCCCCTGGCGGCTCGCTGTGTACCAGGGAATCAAATGGAATCTGAGTTGGTTCTGTGCCATCTCCGTGAATTCTCCCATTCTCTTCTGTGTAAACACTGGCATCCAATTAGCATTTTCTAGAGTAGGGCTGGGCTTGGAGACTGGCTTCTGATAGCAGAGGATAGCAGGAGGGACGCGTGGCTGTCACTAGGCATGGGGCCTCGCTGGCTGCCCAGGACCCGGCCTCAGCACAGATGCTGCCACCCCGGAAGCCACGGCCACACACAGCTCTGCAGCACCCACGAAACGTGGCAGCCAGGTGGGAGTGGGAATGAAATGCGTGGAATTCCCACAAGATATCAAAGGCAGTGTGGGATTCCCAAATGTCTCACATGACATGCGTGTACGTCACAAGAAAAACCTTAGGTTTTTAGTGGCTTCATGAACTCAAACTCAATTTCAACTTTTCTTTTTAATAGTACCTGGATTTGAATCCAAGGGTGTTTGCCCAGCTGGTGCTCTGCCACTTGAGTCAGGGCTCCAGTACAGCAATTTGCTGATGTATTTTGGAGATGGAGTCTCAAAGACTTTTCCTGCCCAGGCTGGCTTTGAACTGTTATAACCAATTGTGAATGCCAACGTTTTTCCCACTTTTAAAACATGACTACTAAAATGCATAATTAAATGTGTCATTTGCATTTGTGACTCATTCTGTCATTATTGTATGTGCTGGTCTTTGGGCTCAATGTTAGGGCCTTGGCTCAAGGTTAGAACTCTACCACTTGAACCACAGCTTCACTTCTGGCTTTTATGGTGGTTAACCTGAGACAAGAATCTCATGGCCTTTGCTGCACGAGCTGGCTTTGAACCACAATCCTCAGCTCTCAGCCTCCTTAGTAGCTAGGATGATAGGCATGAGCTACTGCGGCATGACTCTCAATTCTATTTTAATAGGGATATGGTGGAGTTTTCCAGAAAACTATGGCTGCGGTGGAGGCCTGGTGTTTGCCTCAGGGCCACGCGGCTCCCCAGCACCTGACCCCCAGGAGAGGGGCAGCAGGAATGGGGACCACTGTTGTCTTCTGTGGCTAAATGCTGGGGTAATTTATTCTAAGCTGTGCTTCCTCTGGTTGGTCCATGTTAAATGGTGGGTGGGGCTGGGGAAAAGCAGGTTCACGGACAGAGGGGCTGCCTCTGTGCCTGCGAGGAAAGATGGGGTGCAGGGGGCAAGAGACAGGGGAAAATGCATGAAGGAGTGTGAATCTCGGCCAGTGCCCACTGGAGGCCAGCGCCCAGTGACAGAGGCCGGGCTGGCTCTGGGGGTGGACGGCACAGACGGGGCAGTCAGAGGGCTCTGCGCCTCCTAGTGGCAACTCTGAGAACCGCAGCCGTCCATGAGGAGCATGTGTGCACTGGTGGCTCACGCCTTTCATCGTAGCTCCTCAGGAGGCTGGGATCCCAGGATCGTGGTTCAAAGCCATCCCAGGCAGGAAAGTCCATGAGACTCTTATCTCCAATAAACCACTGGAAACCCATGGCTCCAGTGGTAGAGGACTCACCTCGAGGGAAAGAGCATAGGCCAGGCCCTGATTTCAAGCCCCAGGAGCGTGTTATGCTTGTTTGTTTTTTTGGGTCCGGTCGTGGGGCCTGAACTCTGGGCCTGGGCGCTGTCCCTCAGCTCTTCAGCTCAAGGCTAGCGCTCTACCACTTGAGCCACAGCGCCACTTCTGGCTTTTTTTTCTTTTTGCTTATGTGGTGCTGGGGAATCGAACCCGGGGCCTCAGGCATGCAAGGCAAGCGCTCTACCACTGAGCCACCTTCCCAGCCCAGGAGCATGTTATGCTAGTGTGCCTGTGTGGTGGGGTCTGTGATCTGCTGTCTTAGTGTCTAACAGTGTGTTGTGGGTCTGAGTGTCAGTGTGGTAGGTATCTGTGTTATGTGTTTATCTTGTGTGTGTGCTTGTGTTATGTGTGTTGTATGTAGTATCTGTGTGGTATGTGCCTGTTATGTGTATGCTGTGTGCATACATGTAGGGTGCCTGTATTATGTGCCTATTTTGTGTGTTGTACACAGCACGTCTATGTTATGTGTTGTGCATGTGTGGTACACACTTGTGTTGTGTTTCTGTGTTGTATGTGGTATGTGTGTCATGTGTTGTGTGCAGCACTTGTCTATGTGGTGTGTGGCAATGTCACATGTATGGGGTGTGTCATGTGTGTAGCTTGTGTGTGGTGTGTGTCGGCATCATATGCATGTAGCAGTTATAATGTGTTGTGTGTAGCATATTTATGGTATGTGCCTTGTCACATGTATGGTATGTAGTACATGTCTGTGTGGTGTGTAGCATGTGTCTGTGGTGTGTGCCCATGTCACATGTTATATGTAGCAGGTGTAATGTTGGCTGTTACATGTATTGTGTATAGCTTGTCTGTGTGGTATGTGCCCATGTCACATATGTGGTATGTAGCACATGTAAGGTGCATACCTGTGTCACATGTGTGGCATGTGCCTGTCATGTGTCTTGTGCAGAGGATGTGTACGTGATGTGTGCCTATGCCATGTGCGTCAGAGGTAGCAGTGCAACATGTGCACATCACATGTGGTATGCAGTGTGTATGCATATGCTGTGTGTAGTGTGTCTGTGTGGTGTGTCTGCGTCATGTGTGTGCTGTGTGTAGTCTGTCATGCGTATGCTGTGTGTAGTGTGTCTGTGTAGTGTGTGGTGTGTCTGTGTCATGTGTGTGCTGGGTGTAATCTGTGTAGCGTGTCTGTCATGTGTGTGCTGTGTGTAATGTCTTATCATGTGTGTGCGGTGTATAGTATGTCACATGTGCTGCGTGTAGTGTATCACATGTGCTGCGTGTAGGGTGTCGGTGTCATGTGTGTGCTGTCTGTAGTGTTCTGTGTCATGTGTGCATGTATAATGTGTCTGTCACATGTGCCATGTAGTGTGTCAATATCATATGTGTGCTGTGTAGTGTCGGTGTCAGGTGTGGCATGTAGCATGTCTGTGTCATGTGTGTGCTGTGTGTAGCGTGTCTGTGTCATGTGTGTGCTGTGTGTAGTGTGTCTGTCACATGTGTTGTGTGTAGTATGTCTGTGTCATGTGTGCTGTGTGTAGTGTCTGTGTCACATGTGCTGTGTGTAGTGTGCCTGTCACATGTGTGTACTATGTGTACTATCATATGTGTGCGGTGTGTAGTGTGTCTGTCATGCGTGTGCTGTGTATAGTGTGTCTGTGTCATATGTGTGCTATGTGTAGTGTCCGTCGCATGTGCCGTGTGTAGCATGTCTATCATGTGTGTGTTGTGTCTGTGTCATGTGTGTAACGTGTCTGTATCTGTCACATGTGCTGTGTGTAGCGTGTCTGTATCTGTCACATGTGCTGTGTGTAGTGTATCTGTCGCATGTGCTGTGTGTAGTGTGTGTGTTAGGGTCCTGAGGTCACTGAGCGCCCTTCTGCTCCTGCCTCAGCCCGTTCTGCACGTGTTGGGGTCTTGTGGAGGAGGGCTCAGAGGGCTGGGGATGGGAGGGGGGCAAGATGCAGGCAGGGCTGGCCACGCGTGTCCTGACAGACTCATACCACTGGGGCGGTGGAGCGGCAGGGGCAGGGAGGCTCCCAGCCCGGCCCACGGGGCTTGAGCACCCCTCTCCTGACCGCCCCCCCCCAGCCACGGCCGCTGCGGTGCTCTGTGGGAGGCAGAGCTGGGCCCAGGAAGAGGCCACGTGCGGGGGAAGGGGGAGGCCCTGGTGTGGCCTGGTGCCCGGCCCGCAGAAGCCCGAGCAAACTTGACGGTCACTCTGGAGCCCCCACACTCAGGGCTGGGGTGTGGTACCACTGTGGTGGTGGGGTCGCCCAGGGACCGCACCCCACACCCTGGCCTGCAACTGGCTCTCAATCAAGAGTAGGTCTTGCGGATGGTTCTAGAAGCATTGCTCTTCATCAGCTCAAGTTCATGGCCAAGTTGCATGTGCCTGCCGAGCCAGCCCTGGGCCCTTCTGAGCTGGGCACTGTGTGGCCCGGGGCGGGGCTGTGGCCTCCCTGTGATGTGGGGGGGGGACAGGGACGCACGCACCTGACCGCAGCTGGAGGTGACCGGTCCCGGCACCCCGTCCCACCCCACGCCAGCCTGTGTGTGGCTGGCACTAGAGAAGCTTCTAGGCTTTCATGGTGGCTGGGCCCCAGGACTCTGCTGTGTCCTCCACAGGGCTGCTGGCTGCTGCATGCGGAGGACCTGCTTCATTCAAGGCTGGTGCTCTACCACCTGAGACACAGCTCCACGCCCAGCTTTTTTTTGGTTGGTTGTGGGGCTTGAACTCTGGGCCTGGCGCTGTCCC